ACACACATAATATTTAATTAGAGCGTTCCTTTAAAATTTTAATTTTTATTTACATCAAAATTTTGATACTCAAGAAATTCAATGTGGGGATCAAGACTTTTTGATGAAAGACAAAATTACATATACCTACAAGAATAATATAAGAACAAAAGATAAGACTAAGAATAAAGCTTGATCTTTGTCAACTAGTTCTTATAATTATATTATGAAGAAATTTAAACTCACAAATTTTTAAATTTCTAAAATAGTGAAACAATTTGGTATAGATCCAAGTATTTTTCAAAAAAACAACTCTAAAATACGAAAACTGTAGCCATCATAAAGCGATTTTAGTTTATCGATTTTGTGTTAAATAAAATCACGAAAACAATTAATAAAAAACAATACAAACAACAAAAAAACTTACCAGTGTGTTAAAATCTAAGTCGCTGCTAGTTTAATTTGTATTAAAATCGAAAGCAGAGATGATTTGTGATATTGATTTTTGTGAGATTGCACTGTTATCATCTCTGAACAAATGCGGTGAGTAGATACAAACTGCAGAAAACAAAAGTGAAATTTCGAACCGATCAGTCAGTGATAGCTGTGACCGTTAAACAAGAAAGGTAACTAATAACTGAAAGTGCCGATGGTAATGATGGTAATAAAGGTGGTTCACCCCACCATTGATGCCACCGTTTTTCCCGAATGTTGTTGTTGTGGTTTCGGATGGCTTGCCAAGAAGGAAGAACTTTCTTCGGTTTTGCTACAGCCAACTATAACTTACTTATATCACGTTAACGTGACCGTAGCAAATGATTTCTTTTAGAAAATTGCGACGGTTGTTGTTGTCGCTATTAATTCCAATTCAATCAAACCGTTTTTATTATCGGAACAACTACTTAAAAACGGCACTGTAACTGATTAGTTACACTCCGATCTTTTATACGTCGGCTGGTCGTGTTGCTAGAAGAATCGCGGATATAATAGAATACTTTTTACTTTTATACATCGTCTTAGCAACAAAATTGCTACCTACTTCCTTTACTGTCAAAAAACGTAAAATATTTATATACTTTGTGTGATAAATTATAATCAACTGTTAGTACAAAAGTACAAAAATTAAGAAAAAAGAACATGAGATAATTTGCTTCTTTCTTTCTCTGTACCTACCTACATGTAATATAATAATTTTGCAAACAATTATGGTTTACTTTGATATAACTCACTATAAATCAGGCTTGATAATAAGCAAGCTTTTTATTAACAAGATTAGAAACAATTTCATACTGTTAAATTATTGAGAGATTACGTTTACGTCATTGATATAGTTTGTACCAACCAATCGAAAAACAATACGCTAATGTTGACGTACCTATTTAAAGTGGAATTAAACAATTGGAGGGGTATAAATGTCTATATTCCGGTGTGTAGTTGGTTGCATATACACAGGTACATTTTAATGACATATGACGTTTACCTAAAGTTTAGGTTATAAAATCGAAATTGTCGCCACCGTCGATAGCAATAGGCAACGATTTAACATTCAATTCAATAAACAAAAGAAAATACATGTTGAAATGAAATAAATTTTGCTTTACTTTGCTTAAATGCAATCTTTCGAGAAACGAATTGAAACTGTTGATTGTAACGTTTAGGAAAAAATAACGATTTTCTATCACAACATTGCTTAAGATTTGGACAATGAAAAATATCGACTGTAGGTAATAAAATTTTGCAAATAAATTTCGAAATGAGTTTAATTGGAATTGGGGTGAGTGCGGACTTAATCGTTTTAAACACAAGGACATTTTGATGAAATCAGCGAAATTCGGAAATGTTTTGCAAGCAATTTTTAATCAAACCGCGTAATTATTAATTAAAATTAGAAAAGTATTGAAATATCCAATTGCAGTATAGTACAATAAATTTATGTTTACTTAAACAAAATTTTGAGAGATGCTGATGATTATCAACTTAGGCTGGATCATTTATGCTTAACTATTTATTAATTCAATTACAAAAACAATTGATAATGGTAGGTATATAGCGTCAAGTCGAGTATTACTTATAGCATTTACTACGGATTGTTCAAACCGACCTCTATCTTATTGGGTCTCGTCAGCACGCCGTAGGCAGTTCCAACAGGAACTCTACCTGCTGCCTTTAGACAACGTTTTATTAATTATGACAAACAGCGTAGCGAGCGCCACCTGCAGTAAATTCCTACGTTTTAATGGAATTGGACTATACCCATATACGGTTGGCCTTCGGTTAGCACTCTTTATAATCTATAACCATTCAGTGGTACCTAGGCACTCTAACTGTCCAGTTAAAAACAATAAAAGATATTCATCATCCCATGATGAATGATACATCTGATAAAATTTAAATGAAACAGTATTAGGTAAATATACTATACTTTGCAGGTGTTTAACGTTTTACAATTTTTCTCAGAAACAGCACCCTTATCTGTATAGTCTCATGAATAAACCTAATGATTAAATTAACATTGCAAATACACTTTCGTAGTAAATTTTATAATAACTCGGTTTTTTAAATCACCATAAAATTATCTGTACGAGCACTTTCTACACATCTAACACATTGCTTGTTGCTCTTATTTATTTCGTCAAAGCGCGCAAGTTTGCTCCGATTAGGATTTTTAATAATACAAATTGATATTAACAGTGAAAGTTTATGGAACGTTTTCCTGCAATTATTGCTGCAGTATACATATTGATCTATGTATTTTTTTTACAGTAATTTTGTTTTCAGAGAATAAGAACAAATTGATTATTATTGGTTGCAACAAGCTTATATGTTTATGTTATATATACATCAAGTACCTCATTAGCAAATAAGAAACGAATAATAGTTAATGGCGCGGTTTTACCTTTTTTTGTTAACAGACATGTGCTGACACTAACAGCATAGAGGCGGCGCTTCTAGGAACTAATCTGGTGTGAATGATGGAGTTCATATTTACGTATGAAAAATACCAAATACTAAAAAGACTTAAACACGTTAAAATAACACTTCAATTAACTGTTAATTTCCTAATAAATAAATTTGCATACGTATGCCTAACTGTTCTTTTTTTTATGAAAACTAATTGCAAATAAGAGAAATTAATAGTAATTTTACCTGTGTATTCGGTATTAAAGTATTATAATAATATTCTGTCGTTTGTACTGGTTCAATTCTTAAATGCGCGCAACTTTCACTGTTTAATATTAATTGGAATTCATCGTTAAAAGTAATGCAAATATAATCAATCCATTCAACACCTGATTGAATAAATTATTCATTATCTTTACCAGCCTACTTTTTTTTCTTTAAAGCTTCTTAGACGCCCTTTTAATGTAAAGTCTTCTCGTAAGAAAGCCTTTCTTTTCTCTTTCTCTTTTACATATATATATTGCTCAGTCTACGAAATCTGAATTCGAATATTACTTGCTTGAAATTTAATGTTAGGTATTTCCATTATATTCTAGTAAAAGTGAGGTTATGTCTCATTACCTTTTAGTTAATGTTAGGTTATGTTACGTTAGTTTGGTTTATTGTAGCTTATATTGCGTTACTCTTATGTCATATGAATAACATTTATGGCAAATTAAGATCCCGAAGGTACTTTTAATTGTAAAACACTAAATTTGTAATTTTCTGTGTTCAGATAATTAAATAATGTCGCTGTTTAAATATAAATAGTTATACAATGTTTCGTCATCATATTAGGCACGTTTTCAGTGATTTCGCCAATTAATATTTCAAAATCTTGTTATATAAATCGTCACAAATTGATTACCGGCTTCTCTGCGGCATTATTACAGAAAAGACTTGCCGTAACCGTGGAAACCGCAATTGGCAAATTAATAGTAGAATAATGAACAAAAGCTGCAATCAATTTTGTTATATTGAACTAGGTATCCTACGTTTTCTTGTTCTTGCTATCAAAATGGAGACAAGATTTTATTTCAGTTAAAATTTCAAACCAATTTAAATTGAATTAAAGCATATCAGGATGTAAATTAATTGAATATTGTTGAATTTGCGAATTAGATGACGTAGTAGCCTTTTTCTACCTATAAATAACGTATGAACTTGAAACTAAAAGTTTCACCAAAAATTATGCATGAATAGTATTTTTTACCAGGTTTGAAATAAATGAGCGAATTTTAATTAAATTTCATAATAAATTGCACATGCAGCAAATCTTATACACTTGAAAAACAGTGCTTTATAGTGCAAGTAGGTAATTTTTTTTAAGTCGTGCATTCAAATTGCATGAATTAATAACAGAATTAGCAAATTTATTTAGAGTATGACACCTGAAGATAAAAAAGCGCATTCTTAATAGCTATTAGGAAGTTGTGTTTACATGTATACTACAATATATTATACCAAATTAAACGTCTCGGCATTGTACGTCAATTAAAAAAGAGTGCGGCACGATTGGTCACAAAGTTGGCTACACTGCGAGTATCGGAAACTTCTAAATAAAGATAAAACCCACTCAAATATTATCTGAGTATTATTTTAAAGGTTAATTTTTCCACACAGAGGCGTCAAAGTTAACTTAGCTTTTCTTTCAATTTTTCAAATATATAAGATCCAACTCTAACCAATTTGAAGATGTTGAATTCAAATATCACATTATTTTTTATATACCTAATTTTAATATTTCGCACAGAAGAAACATTTCCAGATGAACAAAATTCTATTATTAGATATAAAATTGTTTTTAATTTTCGTATCTATTAATAGCTCCCTTTAGGTAATATCAGAAATTTCCAGAAAACGAAAATTATTTTAAAACTATGGTTAATACTCTGATACCCCCTACAGCTCCCCCGTCAGAACTTATCTGATAACAAAATGAGAATCGTATTTTTATTTTACCCAGAAGTACCCATGTTTAAATTCCTTTTTAATTGAACTTTAATACATTTAATACAAGATAAATTCCACCACCCAAGATCATCCAAAATTATAATTTTTTGTCTAAATAGCGAACTTACCAAAAAGACGTTATTGTTTTTGTTGTGGATCTTCTCTCAAATCTTATTCGACTTCATAACGTTCCTTTCTGAGAAAATTGAGCTGAACGAAATCACAAACGTAAACAGAAATGTTTTTATTAAATTGTCACTCATCGCACTCACATGCATACATATTTATATGCGTATGCAATTTGAATAAAGTTAGTTATTTTATGCGCTAGTGTAAATAAACGATTCTTCGTCAAATAGCACGGAACTGACGAAGAAAATTACAATTAACAAACGAAGTCAACATTGCATTGTAACAGTGAATCAAAAAAGATAGACTTTGTTGAAAATCTCATTAAAAATTACACGAGCTTTCTCCTTTCCGAATTCCTTATTGCGGTTGTCTCTTCAAATTTTCTTCATTTCAATGCTTCTTCAACTTAATGTGAAAGTTGATATTTTATGGGCACTATGGATTACCAAAGTATTATCAGCATTTAGCAAATAATGATTATCCCATCTATAGGTAGGTTTTTGTTAATCAGTTGATTATTATTTACTTACAAGTAAAAACAAAAGTACATTCATTATATATGCATTTTACTGCTGTAGAATGATTCACTTTCACTTTTTGTAAACATTATCTACCTATTATTAGGTATAATATTAATGTTCTAATATCGTCTGTTAGTCCATAGACCTTAGGATTTCCATTGTCAGATATGGTTTGAGCAAGTGGGTCATAGGAGAAACGTATCAAGAAGCTCAATACGTTGAACTCGGAGCTATGGGTCAATTAAAACCTTCTATAAATATATATATTTTTTTGGCTGATCAAACAGACCAAAAAAGGCTACGTAGCTAATTCACGTACTGTACTGTAGAATATTGGATTAGCATCTGAAACAAAAGAAAAATGATTTACTTGGAACTGCAAAACTGCATTACTAAAAATTTAGAGACGAGATACTTGTATAGAAGAGTGATTAGGATCCACATTACCATCTGCAATTGATATTATTAAAGGTATATCCAGAAGTGAATGGTGAGCATCCTTGCGGATGTTGTATCCGTATTAGGAGTCAGCAAGGAAAACTTGGAGAAGTTATTAAAAATAAAACAAAAATACGATGTGGTACATGTCCTTGATGTAATTTTAGAATTTTATTACAAATCGTAGGAAATTGGACCAAAGCAAAGTCATCGAAGAAAATAACCGAAATTAAAGCAATTCATTGTATTCAACTGAAAATAAAGTTTCTTTTTTGAACTAAACCATGATTCACATTGATGACGTTTTTTTTTTTGTTTTTCAACAAAATCATATTGTAATAATGGCAATGATCAGATGAGCCATTTTGAGGGTTTTTCTGGTGAATATTAGTTACGGCTATCATAAATCACTATTAAAACGTAGGTTACAGAAACCAAGACACAATGTAGGTAATCCTAAAGTTCCGAAGATTACAGTCGACAACTGCTTTGTAACTGTTTAATATTGTTACGTACACCTGCAGAAAATTAATTATTACTTAGTTAACTGAGATGGAAGTTTAATCCTTATTTTATTTAATCCAAGATTAAAGCGTGCACATTGAATACATACAAGATAAGACAGTGGAGCACAATGAGTATATAATGTGCCTCCGGGCACATCTGTGAAGTATGATAACATTTTATTCAACAATACACGGCACGTATTCTGTCTTTTGTAGTACTTACTCTCATATTGCAATTAGCAAATAAATTGAAATTAGCATATTATAATGTTCATCGATTATTTTCATTTTTAGAAACAATGGATTATTCAAATGGTCGAGTAATCAAATAATCGATTAATTGCAAACAATCAGAGCAGTTTAATCCGAAAAATTATAAATATTAGTTGCTAATTAGAATATTTAAACGCGTTAAATAAATGATTACTTTTTTCGATAATAGAAACTGAAAATTTTGGACCTTGTGTAAAATCGAATAAACCTATCATGATAAGTCATCAATATAATATTCATCATCATCATCATCACAATAATTGTAGAGTCGTCAATCCTGAGACTGGTTGGACACGCACCTCCACTCTTTCTTATCTTGAGCTAATCTTCGCATTTTATTAAAACTAGAACAACCCACATCCTTAACTATTTGCGAACAGTAATCTGATTTAGGTCTACCTCTACTCCTCTTAACTCCTGTTTCTACCTCTAATATGTCCTACATACCTACCTCGCCTATTTGTTATTGACTTCTACAGTCTTTTCTCCTGCTGTTCCTAATACCTCTTATCATCTAACCTTTTTCGGTATAATTTCTACTCATTTATTTGCTAAATCTAATTTTTGTAAACAATATTAGGTACTAAAGTGGCATTTTTACATATCAACTTATTCTTCTTGGATTACTATTAGACAAATGTCTCAAACCACCCAGTGAAATTTTACCTTATCGATTTTATAATTAGTTACTCCTTTTTAAGTCAAATTGTGTTATTTTTGACGTGACAACGTCTTATAATTCGATGGAGCCGGCTGCACGCACGAAAAAACATGACTCATGCGGCGTTACCTCGCTTTGAGGCGTTCCATTTAAGGCTTGAAGTGCAAGCGAGAGCGCGGAACGAGCGACAAAGAGGCACAATCGGCCTCCGCGTTCGGCAGCGTTCGACATCTGTCTCTCTCTTAGTTGAGTGAGCGATGCGTCCGCGTGGACAGCTGCTATACAATAATACATTTCCATTTACCTCCTTCTCTATATCCATACAAAATATCTATGAAACAAATAAAATTAAAATTTTCTTTTGAAAAATGAAACCATTCCATCAGTATTTTCTTATGACGTTGTCACGTTCAACTATCGTCAGTAAACCGACTTTACAGACAACCGATTTTTTAATAATATTTTCAATGCAGTTGTTGAACTATTACAGCTATAGAACTTAATTAACGTCTATAAGCTCTTTTTCGATCTTGAATAAATCAAATTCCACACAGTGTTCGTGCCAAGTGTATGTCTATTACTCGAGCCAAGTATTAAGTAACAACAATAGTAATGGTTTTGATGTAACACTATTATAATGGCGTTACTAAAATTATTACATTATGGGAAATGCTCACTGAATAACAATCAATGCGGTTTTAACAGGGCAGTAGTTCACACGAACACATAAAGTTGCTAGCGTTAAATCATGTTTTCATATGCATATATATAATAGCAATAATGCAGTTTCTAGTCCAAGGATGATTTAACTTTAACTGATGGTATTACGTACAGTGCACGATTATGAATTTGCAATAGGTTCATAAAAGTATCAATGCAAAGCCGGCTCTGGTCGTGATTTTCATATAGATTTGTTACAATTTGTCCTTAAATGTAATGTAGTACCAATTGAAAAATACGATAATTTTAGATAAATGAAAAATCAGGAAAATGTGACCCATCTTAATTAATGAGAAGTTCTATACCAGTGGTCCCTAACCTTTTTAATATTGTTACCCCTGTGACCTATTAAGAAAACTGATTTTACCCTGACCTTAAAATGTTATCAATACAAACAACACAAGCAAATACAGATATCTTTAATAATCACAAATTGCACATTAGTCTTACAATTTTATATACCTAAACAATAAATTAAGCAAAAATGGTTACTGTGATAGTTGGTATTATTTTGCATTTTTCAATTTTTTTTATGTTGGCTTTAATTTCGTTTAAAGTCATCTTCCACATTTAGAAGGATTCTGGTCTTTGTTTTCAGTGTAACCAAAATTGAAAAACCACTTTCACACCTATAGGTGCTGGCAAAGGGTTTTAGCATTTTTAAAATTCTCTTAGCTAAAGCAGGATATTCGGCACTAGCTTTTCGCCAAAATGAGCTAAGATCATAATTTTGAAATTCTACTCTGTAAGTAGTATTCTGGCATAGTCCAAAATATTCCACTTTGGCCACTACGTCTTCGTTTTTAATAATGTTATCATCAGTAGTAAATCGTCTTAATATCCAAGAACTGGACTGACGATTATCCATATTCGAAAAATATTGCTTCAATGAGTTTATTGCTACAGATAAATGCCGAACCACAGAATTTTCAAATGTGATCTTGTTTTTTCAATATTTACCAATTGTGCATACAGTTGTATAAACATCAACACATCCATAATTTTATATTTTTGCTATCTAGCTACGTATTTTTGGTCTTAATTATTAGGTTCTTTGTTACCCCCACAGAATAACTGATTTACTCCCACGGGGTAATTACCCCCCAGGTTCGGAATCACTGTTCTATACTATTATTATTAAATGCATGAGTACAAAGTTGAAGCTAATTATAATATATGTGCCTATACAAAAAAGGATATTTACGTATATATGAACATCCTTTTTATTCTGTACATCGGACCAAAGCGATCACATAAATTGTAGTAAAGTAGTACAGTGAATCAAGGTTCGGTGACTGGTTAAAATTCCGATTGAGTGTAAAAAATGTGAATCTCACACTTGATGCATTAGAAAGAAAGACTTTCGAGAAACCGCTTCTTGCATTAGCACAATAAGGAAAAGGAGGCTGAAAGAAACTGAGAAACTGTGCAGTAGAGATTGAACACTTTCACTGACCCACACTTCTGACTGTAAATCAATGTCAAGGTTTATTATACACATTTCAAGCATATATCTTAACTAATATTATAAATGCGAATGTGTTTGTTTGTTTGCTACCCTTTCAAACCTTAACTTAATCAAGCATCTTAAATTTTGCACAAACATTGTTAGGGTTACAGAACAGGATATAGGGTACTTATTATCTATAAATAAATACTGTTCTAAAGGGATAGAAAAAATAGTTTTACGTAGTCGTGGATGATGTTTAATACGTACTTCCTAAGTGGAATATAATTAAAAAAAACTTTTTAAACTTTTGAGTGTTTCATTCCCACCAGTCAGTAATGCTGGGGGGCGGGCAGTCCCTCCGGACTACGCCGGAAGGTAGAGCGGAAGGCCCTCTTCAGCCTGCTTTCAGGAATCGTGGGAATGAATGGGTGGTGGTTCGGGTGAGAAAAATGAGACGGACGAAATGAAGACAGAAGAGAATGAAAGATTATCTGTGGAATATTACAGCCCCAGCATTTGCCTAAGTGATCCAAGGAAACCACAGATAAACTTGGACCAAGGCAGACGGACCCAGAATCGAACTGGCGTCCTCCCGAATGCTAAATAATGGACTAAACCTCTAGGTCATGCCGCTCAGTGGAATATAATTAAGACACCCCGTCGATGAGATGCAATCTCACGATCGTCTCGGCGCGCAATTTTGTTGTTGAATCAATATGAAACCACCAAAAGGTACTTTTGACACACATTGCCATAAAACAACATAGTTTACGAGAAATTCCTAACATTTACCTAACGTTATTTGAAATATCTAACCAAGAGGGGCCTCTTTCTATAAATTTCGTGGAAAATAGTGGTCCAGTTGTTGAAGCTTTCATCTCTGAATGGAGACATTTCCGGGCATTAGTGTGTAAACTTTTTATTGTTTGCGATAATGATTGGTGCTAACATCTCCAAAAATATTTGCTGTTCTTCCTGAAATATCTTGTACGTAATATTGAGCCCTGGGCAGTGATTTTATTGGGGCAGCTGATTTTTCCAAAGAAAATGGAATTAAAGAGAAAATTAACGTAAAACCTGCACTCGAATGTCGTATTCGAAAAAAATTCCAGTTACAGAAATTCTCAAATTCGCATTAAAGAATGAAATAAAATGTAAAATAATATAAGTACTTATATGTCAAAGGAATTAAAAAATAGTGTTGCAACATATTTCGGGTTATAGTAGTTCTAATTACAGCTGTTTGAAGATATATCTATTCTTAATTAAAAAGTTTTTTCTTTCTTTTTGTTACTAG